GAAGCAGCAGCAGCAGCAGCAATGTATAGGTATGCATATATATATATATATATATATATATATAGCCGGGAGACAGACAAGGATACAGAGAGAGATATAGAGATAGACATAAATAAAAAGAGAAAACAGAGAGAGAAGCAGAGAGACAGACAGAAAAAGAAAGACAAAGAGACAGAGAGAAACCGACAAACAAACAAAGACAAAAAATAAAGAGACAAAGAGAGACACACGGAGACAGATAAAAATAGATATGCATATATATATACATATATATATATATATTTATTTATATATTTATATGTATATATATATATATATATTTATATAAACAGAGACATCTGCTTACAGTAGGAAAAAACAAAGAAAAAACAAAAAAAGAAATAGAGACAAATAAGGAGACAAACGATACAGATACGGAGACAGAGACAAACAACCACCTAAACCCTAAACCCTAAACCCTAAACCCTAAACCCTAGAATAAAATGAACAAAGGAAAAGAAAACAAAGAAAGCATTTCATACCCCTGAAGAACATCGATTGCCTCTTCAGTGCGGCCTAAACCAACGAGGCACTTCGCTAGCTTGACAGACAGCTGCGCACACAAACCCTAAACCCTAAACCCTAAACCCTAAACCCTAAACCCTAAGAACTCGATACTAGAGGCTCAAGAAGGTGAGGAGACAGTGAAAAGCAAAAGGACGGAAAGGAGACAGACAAAGACAGTAAAAGGAGACAGAAACAAATAATAAAAAAGAAAAAACAAACAGATAATAAAAAAAGCAACAACAAACAGAGACAAATAAAAGATATAAGAAAGAGACATATAATAAAAAGAAGAGACAGAAGACAGGCGAGAGACAGAAAAGGAGACAGAAAAAATATGTAAAGGAGACAGCAAAAAGGAGACACAGCACAAGAAGAGGAGACAGCACACAGATGATAATATATATATATATATATACTCATATACATATATAGCTACATATATATAAGCATAAATATATATATATATATATATGTATATATGAGGAGACAGAAGAAGGAGACAGCATACAGATGAGTTTGTCTTTGCTTCAGGAATTGACAGCACTCGCTGCAGCAGACGGCATGCCTCTGCTTGTCTCTCTGCTACTATAAATGCATCAGCAAGCAGCAGATACATATCCACATAAGCATTATCTACGACCTCGCTGTACACCCCGCTGCTGCTGTTGCTGTTGTTGCTGCTGCTGCTGCTGCTGCTGTTGCTGCTGCTGTCTCCTGGAGACAGCGGCTTCCGTCGGAGAGCAGCTGCGTTTAGTCGGGCCTCCACCTCTGCAGCGCAGTCTAACTGCAGCAGCAGCAGCAGCAGCAGCAACAGCAAGTGCAGCAACAGCAGCAGCAGCAGCAGCAGCACGCAAACCATGCATACTTCTCCTCCCTGTACCTGATTTGCATCTTTATGAATATACAGGGCACCCCAAAAGCTGTTAGGGGCCCCAAGCATTCCGCTGCTGCTGCTGCTACTAATACCGCTGCTGCTGCTGCTGCGGCTGCTGCTGATGCCTGTGCTGCTGCTGCTGCTGCTGCTGCTGCGGTATTTATGCGTGTGTGCGGCGTTATTATTATTATTATTAAATATATATATATATATATACATACGTAGATATATATATATATATATATATATGTATAAAGGGTTTACCTCTCCCGTGATGATTCCTGCTGCAGCTAATTTAACAGACAAATCGAGAGGTGCAGCAGCAATGAGAGCATCGCCTAAAAAGAATTTTATTAAAAGGAGACAGTGATGGTGTCTCCCCTCTTCTAAATCCATCTCGCTCAGCATATTCAAACAGTTCAACTCCTCATGACTCATCACTGATAACAAAGACCCCTTGCTGCTGCTGCTGCTGCTGCTGCTGCTGCTGCTGCTGCTGCTGTTGCTGTTGCTGCTGCTGTGGCTGTGGCTGGGGAGGCTAAGGTGGCTTGCTTGGCTTTGTTCTCCTGTTTCTCCTGTTGCTACTGCTGCAGTAGCTGTTGCTGCTGCTGCTGTTGCTGCAGTTGCTGCTGCTGTTGCTGCTGCTGCTGCTGTTGCTGCTGCTGCTGCTGGAGGCAGCTGCTGACTTTCCGACTCATCTTTCGTTTCTTCTGTTTGCTGCACGGAGCCCGGCGTCTTCTCACTTTGCTGCTGCTGCTGCTGCTGCTGTTGCTGGTCTTTCTGTTTCTGCTGTTCGTGCTGTTCTTTCTGTTGCACCTGTTGCTGCTGCTGCTGCTGCTGCTGCTGCTGCTGCTGCTGCTGCAGTATATCGGTCTGTAGGTGTAACATCAGCTGCTGAGTGTGTTTATACGGCAGCAGTTTATAAAGAGCTGCTTCTAATACCTCTCTTGCTTCTTGCAAGCGATTTGTTTTATGCAAACAAAACGCAAAAAGAGAAGCTAAAGGAGCAAACCCAAAGTGCTGACGAAAAAGAGAACGAAGCAAAACGCATGCCTTCTCGTGTTCACCCTGTTCAGGTGTATGCGCAGGTACACACCAAACAAATAAACAAACAAATAAACAAATAAATAAATATATATTTATTTATTTATATTTATATTTGTAAATCAATAAATAAATATATAAATATTAAAGAAATCAGCCTATAAATGTATAAATTATAAATATACAAATATATACATATATATCTATATCAATAAATAAATAAATAAATAAATAAATAAATAAATAAATAAATAAATAAATAAATAAATAAATAGTAAAACAAAAAAGTATAAAACAAACAAAACAAAGAAATAAAACAAACGAACAAAACTAAAAAGGCATCGTCAATGCAGTTATATCCCCAGTAAAATAAACAAACAAAAACTACAAATAAAATATACAAATATCAAACAACGCAAACAAAAAAATGCAGCAGCAGCTGTTGCTGCTGTCCCTGCTGCTGCTGCTGCTGCTGCTGTTGCTGCTGCTGGTGTTGCTCCTTGTCTCTGTTTTTAAAAGCTTCTGTTTTTATATTTCGCAAAGCCTGTGGTGACGCTGTGCACTGCAAAACAGGGTTTAGGGTTTAGGGTTTAGGGTTTAGGGTTTAGGGTTTAGCGCACCATTTCTCTGTAGACTAGGGCGAGATGATAGGAGACCTCTTCTTCCATTTGTTTGTTTGTAGTTTCTGCATCGCTGTTATTATCTTGATAAATATATTTATCTTGTGTATATTTATCTGTTTTGTTTGTCTTAAAGCTGTTATTATTAATATCTTCATCTGTCTCTGTCTCTTCGTCTTTATCTGTTTGTTGCTGGACTTCATTAACGTCTCTCTTTACCCTCTCCTTCTCTTTATCTTTATCTACATCTATATCTTTATCTCTATCTTTATCTTTATCTTTATCTTTATCCGCTGTCTCTCTAATATTATTTAAACACCTTCTAAAACAATATGCAGCTTGAGACAAGTCGCGCAACTCTACAGCCAAATTCCCGCTCCGCCTCCACAGTAAAGCGTCGCTCCCAACCTGCACTCAAACCCTAAACCCTAAACCCTAAACCCTAAACCCTAAACCCTTAACCCTAAACTCTAAACCCTACATAACCCTAAATAACCCTAAATAACCCTAAATAACCCTAAATAACCCTAAATAATCATACATAGCCATACATAACGATAAATAATAATAAATAATAATAAATAATAATAAATAACCCTAAACCCTAAATAACCCTGAATAACCCTAAACCCTAAACCCTAAATAACCCTAAACCCTGGGATATGGATTTGGAAATCGGATTCGCAACAAACCCTAAACCCTTTTCATGCAAATGTATCTTCATATCTTCAACATAAACACCGCCTAAACCCTTAACCCTAAACCCTAAATAACCCTAAATAACCCTAAACCCTAAACCCTAAACCCTAGTCTTACAAGGTGGGCGGCTAGGAGGTAGCAGTCAAGAGCGCGGCGTTTGTCTTTATAACCCTCTTCAAATACTAAACCCTAATGAAGACAGAGACAATAAAAAGAAAGAGAATAAAACAGCAAAAGACAGAGAGGCATAAATATATTTTGCATGCAGCTCACTTAATATATAAATATAAATATATATATATATATATATATATATATATATGTGTGTGTCTATTTAAGATATATATATATGTTATATAATATACGCATGCATATCTATATTATAGAGCATATTCAATAAACAGCCCCCATCCACCAACGCAACCGTAAACCCTAGACCCTAAACCCTAAACCCTAAACCCTAAACCCTAAACCCTTACGAGGAGGTGGAAAGGGTCGTGTAGGCCCGGAGCCCTCCTAATGATTTCTTTCAATAAAGAAACAGCAGCAGCAAACTCAGCAGATAAATATAAATCTGTAGCTTGCTGCAGCATGGCGCGCAGCTGAAGGCAGCAGCAAAATACGCAAACCCTAAACCCTAAACCCTAAACCCTAAACCCTGAGAAGGAGCGAGAAGCCACCTCTTTCATGAGGGGGAAACCGCAGCTACAAAAGAATATGCAAAACCCTAAGCAATCAACCCAAACATAAACACCCTTCATGAGGCTTTAGGGTTTAGGGTTTAGGGTTTAGGGTTTAGGGTTTAGCATGCCTCTGGAGTCAGGTTCGAAGGCGTATCAGCGGTTCTGCGCTTTCTCCGTCGTCTTTGCCTCTGCCCACTAAACGCTGCACACTCAAACCCTAAACCCTAAACCCTAAACCCTAAACCCTCAGCCCCTTCAGCAATTCTCATGGTCTCCAAACAGACACGAGAGGCTCTCCAGCAGCAGCAGCAGCAGCACCAGCAGCAGCAGCAGTAATAGCAGCACGCAAATCAGCAGCAGCAACAGCAGCACAAACAGAATCAGCAGCAGAAACACATCCTGAACAGCAGCACCAACACCATCATCATCAGCAGCAGCCGCCCCAGCATCAGCACCAGCACCAGCAATAGCAGCAGCAGCAGCAGCAGCAGCAGCAACAGCAGCAGCAGCAGCAGCAGCAGGGTTCTTACAAGCCATTCGTCTTTTTCTTTTGCGCTGTCTCCTCGGTCTGTCTACGCCTTCAGTCATTCCCTCAGTGCCCCAAAACAAAAACTCTTCATATTCTTCTGAATACTCACTCGAGTCGTAGCTGAGCAGCAGCAGCAGCAGCAGCAGCAGCAGCAGGAGTAACACAAGCAGCAGCAGCAGAAGCAGCAGCAGGAGGAAGAAGAATAGCAGCAGTAGAAGCAGTTTGCTGCAGCTGTTGCTGCTGCTAGAGATATCCTCCGCTGGCCTCCTTCGCAGTGTAAAGAAGATCAGGGTTTAGGGTTTAGGGTTTAGGGTTTAGGGTTTAGGGTTTACGTTGCGCTGTCGGATGGGAGTTCGGTGTCTCTGCGTCTTTGTGTGAAATTTTGTGTTTTTGTTTGCTGCGGCTTTGCTTTGCTGGCCATTGCTTTTGTGTTGAGTGCAGCAGAAGAGACAGAAGAATAAAGCCCCTTCCTCTGCCTTTGCTGCTGCTGCTGCTGCTGCTGTTGATGCTGCTGCTGCTGCTGCTGCTGCATGCGTTTCTTCTGTCTCCTTGCATTACTTAACAGCGAAGCCCCGCGGCTGCTGCTGTTGCTGCCCTCACTGAAGGAGCTGTCGCTTTCTTCTGAGAGGCCCCAAGAGCTGCTGCTGCTGCTGCAGCAGCTGCTGCTGCTGCTGCAGCTGACGCCAGTACCGCCGCTGCTGCTGCAGCCTGCTCCATCAGCATCAGCATCAGCATCAGTAGCAGCAGCAGCAGCAGCAGCAGCACGTACGCGTTTGCTGCCTCTAGCTACAGACTTGAGACGATCTAGGGCTCTGCTGCGGCTTGCCCTAGCGAAGAGACAGTTTGTCTTTCCTTCTGCAGCAGCAGCAGCAGCAGCATTAGCAGCAGCAGCAGCAACAGCAGCAGCTTCTTTAGAAGGCTGCTCTAAGCCTCTCACCTCCTCTATGGGGGGCCCCCCAGGGCCCCCAATGCTGCGCTTGGCGCCCCTCTGCATTATTTATTAACGAGCAGCAAAATTAAAAACATATATATACATATATATATATATGTATATATATATATATATATCTTATACAGCAGCAGAGACGAAGGTTAAGAACATAGGGAGAGAGGCGGCAAACAAAGCCCTTAATTAATTATAACAGAGTACAGCAGCAGCAGCAACAGCAGCAGCAGCAGCGAGACAGAGGGTGAGAAGTAAAATAAATTAAGATAAACTAAAATAAAATTATTAAAATAAAATAAACAATGCATAAAACAAATAACAAAGAATTCATAATAATATTATACGCTATTATATCATATATACATATTCAAGATGTATCTACCAGTCTCTTGCTGCTGCTGTTCCTGCTGCTGTTCCTGCTGCTGCTGCTGCTGCTGCTGCTGCTGCTGCTGCTGCTGCTGCTGCTGCTGTGAGCGAGCAGCGGAACAGCTGAATGCATAGGGGGGGCCCCTCATGTGTTTGCTGCAGAGCTATATTTTTAGGTTTAGTTTAACGATAAAATAGAGTTAAAATAATTTAATTAAATATGAAAAAGAAAGATAAAAAGAAACAAAAAATAAAGAGTGCTGCTCAAACCAGCAGCAGCAGCAGCAGCAGCAGCGAGCCTCTGCTGCTGCTGCAGAGGGAAGGTAGTTGTTAAACGATATCTTTGTTTTCTTTTGCTTATTTCAGTGTAAATAAATAATAATAAACATTTAAATTAATTATTAATTAATTTTAAAGGGTTTTATAAAATAAAAATAAAGAAATATACATTGAAGGACAGAGCCTCAGGGACGCCTCCACCGCCTCGGCTCGTCTCCCCCTAAACCCTAAACCCTAAACCCTAAACCCTAAACCCTAAACCCTAAACCCTTGTTCGCAAACCCTAAACCCTAAACCCTAAACCCTTGTCATTTGAACCAAATCTTATTATTCCTTTCAAGAAGGAAGTTTCTGCTGCTGTGCTGCAGCAGCTAATCTCCGCCTGTCTCTTCTTACTTGCTGCTGCAGTTTGAAGTTTATTTGTTCGCCCTGCTGAGTGCAGCAGCAAAACATAAAATAATAAATACTAAATTAATATAAAGCAGCAGCAGCAAACAATGTAAGACGAACAGCTGCATGCTGCAACAGCAGCAGCTGCAACAGCTGCAGCAGCAGCGAGAGAGAGAGACTTCTACTGCAGCAGCAGCAGCTGCTGCAGCAGCAGTGACAGACAACAGCAGAAACTGCAGCAGTTAGAGCAGCAGCAGCAGACACTGGCAGCAGCTGCAGCGGCTACGGCAGCGACAGATAACCGCAGCGGCTGCAGCAGCAGCGACTGCAACAACAGCAGCAGCTTCTGATGCTGTTGTTGATGCTGCTGCTGCAGCAATAAACAAATCAACTGCAGCAAAAACAGCAAATCTTCCTCTTGCTGCAGCAGCAGCAGCAGCAAAACCTGCTGCTGATGCTGCACCGCTGTGCCCTGAATTCGTACAAAGAAGACGAGGTGCGCAGCCAAAGGCCCGACAACCCTCTAAACCCTAAGCCCTAAACCCTAAACCCTAATTCTTCAGATGCCTCGCTAGTCGCTGTGCGCTGCACTCTTGGATGCTGGCTACCCATAAAGCTAAACCGCTACCTCGGTCTCAGCACTCTAAACCCTAAACCCTAAACCCTAAACCCTTATCAAGGACGCATAGAGAGGCTTTCACGCCTTTTCAGGGCTTTCAGAACTGCCTGTATCCACGGATTTAGCTGTTGCTGCTGCTGCTGCTGTTGCTGCTGCTGCGGTTATTGTTGCTGCTGCTTCTGCTGCTGTTGTTTTTGTTGCTGCTGCTGCTGCAGCGATGTCTGAGGGATGCGCCCCAAGAGGGGTAGGGGTTTACTCAGCTGACAGCAGCAAATGGTTTCCGTCTGCATGCAACGACAAACCCCAACCCAACCAGCAGCAGCAGCAGCAGCAGCAGCAGCAGCAGCAGCAGCAGCAGCAGCAGCAGCAGCAAC